CCCACAGCTCTGCTTCTCCCACCCACCCATCCATCCATCCGCCCCAGGTCAGCCACCCTTCTGCTTCACGTCCCATCTGCCCACCCCCCAGCCAATCGTCCGCCTCACTGAGCCGTCCGTCTACTCCGTGCCAGCCACCCCTCCACACCTGTCCATCTGTCCCATTGCAGCTGCCCCTTTCCTTCCACCTCTGGTCTGCCCACACTCTGGTCTGTCCACATCATGCCGGACTCCACTCTGCTTCCCCCACCAATCCATCCTTCCGGCCCCCTGCCCCACGCACACGTCCAGTACCCTCCTCCATCCCCCCGCCCCAGGCCTACCATCCTTCCGCTTCCTCCCCCCGTCGGTCCACCCTCCAGCCAATTGTCTGTCTCGCTGATCTGTCCATCCACACCATGCCATCCATCCCTCTGCTTCATCCAGCCACTTCTCTCTACACCTTCCAGCTAGCCACCTGCCCACCCTGGCCATACCTCTGCTTCTCCCACTCCTCTGTCTACCCCATGCCAACCACCCCTCTGCTTCACTCCTCTATCCCGCCAGCCTGCCCAGGCCTGTCTCATCCACTCATCCATCCATCCAACCCAGGTGAGACACATCCCTGCTTCCCCACTGATCCATCCACCTCTGTTTCACCCACCCTCCTGTCTGCCCCATGCCAGCTACACCTCTGCTTCAGCCAGCCAGCTGGCCATCCCACATCAGCCAGTCCTCTGCCTCCCCCACTCATCTGTCCATCCAGGCTAGCTGCCCACGCACCCATTCAAAGCACAGCAACCACCCCTCTGCCTCACCACCCATCCATCTCTGTCCCAGTCAGCCAACTCTCTCATCTGCCCACCTCCTCTCTTCTCCTCTCATCTCTGTCCATCTGTCTCAGCCACCCCATGTGAACCACTCCTTAGTGTACCCCTCTCTCCATCCCCCCCCTCTGTTTCAGCCTTCCATTGACCTGCCCCACAACAGCCACTGCATCCCTTCCACCCCTCTGCCCCGTCCATTCATCTATCCACCCAGCCATGGCCGGCTACCTTCAGCTTCTGCCATCTGTCCATCCATGCATCCTCTCCTCTACTTCTCCATCCATTTGTCCATCCCATCCCATGCCAGCCACCCCTCTGCTTCACCCATCTGTCCATCCTTCCATCTCTTCATGCCAGATGCTGCATCCATCTACTCCATGGCAGATAACTCTCTGCTTCACCCATCCATTCACCCCTCTGCTTCTAACATCCATCCTATGGTAGCCACCCATCTGCTTCACCCCCCCACACCTGTCCATGTCTCCATCTACACCTCTGCTTCACCCATCCCACCATGCTGGTTGCTCCTCTTCTTCACCTAGTCATTCATCCCAAACAGCCACTCCTCTGCTTTGCCCACCTGTCCATCCGCCCATCCGTCCATGCTAAATCATTCCACTCACACCTCCTATGCCATCCGCTCGCACTGTGCCATCCACCCTTTGCTACACCATACCGTCTGGACACCCCATGTCATCCATCCGCCTGTTACAATATTCTGTCCGCCCACCCCATGGTATCCACCTCTCTGCTACATCATCACATCTGCCGTCCCAAGACCATCCATCCCTCTAGTACACCATTGCATCCACTCCTCTACCAAGCGGTTACATCCATCTGTATATCTGTCCAGCCTCTTCTCCCCATCTCACATGCCATTCAGCCCCTTCTGCTACCTCATTTCCCATCTTCTCTTTTACAGCCATCCAACCCCTCTGCTACACCCATTCACCCATCCATCACCTCTGCCTGGCACACCTATCCATTTCCACTTGCATTTCAACAACCTCTGCAACCCTCATCCATCCCACTCTATACCCTCCAACTCCTGCTACACACACCCATCTAGCCACCATTTCCTTTAACTCCCTTTGTTGTACTCGTCCATCCATCCATCCACACCCTCTAGCCCCACTGCTAGATTGATTCACCTTGCCCCTCCAAGTACCTTATAGTCCTCCCAGCTCCATCCATCCACACCCCACTATCATGCCTTGCAGCCTTGTCTGTTCCATCATCCCTCCTCTGCTGCATCCATCTCCTGTACACATCCACCTCCTCTCTCCATCCGTCACCTCCTCTCTCCACCCGGCCACCTCATCCATCCCTCCATCCACATGCTTTCCATCTATCCACTCACTCTGTCGCTTCATCTTTCCACTTTATCTGTCCATCTTCTACTGTGTGCAGCCTTTTATATACGAAGTCGGTACATCTGTTCTGGCTGTCCATCCTCCATTTACCTGTTCACTGTGTCTGTCCATCCATCATACCTGTCCATCACCCATATCAGTCCTGTTCATCCAGCCACTGCATCTGTTCATCTTTCTGCTCCATTCACTGTAGCTGTCTATCCAACTCACAGGATCCATCCTTGTATTCATTCACTAGATCCTTTACAAATCTATCTATGTTGTCGATCTACCATAGGAACACTTCTGTCTTTCTGTTGTCTCCCTCAGTGCCTCCAACAATCTGCTGTATCACTAATTTTTTTTCTATTTTTCTGGAGTATATATTTACCCATCCATCTACAAAATTGATCCATGTTTATATACTGGCTGTCTGTCTGCCTATCAAAAACACATGCAGTTTCAGTATCTGTTGTGTATAAGCAAAATGGATACATGCTTGGCTGTTTATATTCACATAAATGTTTATAGGTCTATAAATTACATATGAATAATGTATCTCTTAAGTGCTCATATGACCTAGATAATGTGCGAGTATACATATGAACTGATGACACTAAACTGTTGACTTCCGTTCACTGTGATCAGTTTATAGAAAAGTTGTGTGTTGACATGTAATAGGATTTTTTTAGCATTGATTTTTGTCTATTAGGGTTGGGTTTTTTTTTACCATTTTAAAAAATCTAATGCTATGACATCACTGCTGGGGTTGCAGTTCTATTTAGTACTTGATTAATAATCATTTATTTTTGCAACACCTTCCAAGTCTGTATTTATAGAAAGTACATAGGAACATAATATACATAAGGTACCAGAAACACTATAGGCCCTGGCCCTACAAGACATATTTTTGAAAGGGTCTGGCATGACACACTAAGATTCTGTACTGTACAGAACAGAAAGATGCATAGGCGGCCAAAAAAGAATAAAGGTTCCTAGAAAACTAAAAGGGATAAAAATCTGAGCTTGACAATATACAGAAAAATCGAACTGATTGTAACAGATTTGGAATACCTGTCCATCCAATAATTTTACATAGCAATCAGGGGAATGTATTAGAACACTGGGGTTACAGGAATGTTATAAAGACTAGCGTGGACATTTATCACCTAAAGCACAGCTGTATGATGCTTGTAGCACAAAATTCCAGCAGATGCTTGTAGTTCTGGTAACTTTCATGCAGTGAGCTTTTCTGGTTGCAAACAATGTATTAAAGCTAGACACTGGGTGGAATACCAGTGACAGTTTCTCATTTAATTCTGACATTAAGAACAGTCAACGAGAAAGCAGTTAAGACAATCACGGCTACTTCATTTGGCTGCTTTTCAGAATTTATCTTTATGGGGGGTAAAAAAGCAGAGATCAAAATACCCTGCTACTTAAGAAGAGCAGGCATGGGATTAGTTTAACCATTAGTGTAAGTGGACATGCTTTCGAGAGAGCATCCAGAGCTCCAAAGGAAGCAATCTGTTACAATTTTCACATATGCTAAATAATCTTAAAAAATACTTTATTCGCCATTGAAGCTTCTCTGGCTATTAAAAAGCCTTTACTGTGAAAACCAAAGAGACCCTTTGCTTAAATTAATCAGTAGCTATCAAGGTACGAATCCTGTGATTTTTCAGGGTACTCTCATAACTGGCTTGAATCTCTCTAAACAGCCGTTCTTCTGAAGAATTTGCATTGCTTTCTGTGGATCTAATCTATTCAGCAATAGCCTGGCTAGATTTTTGCTGGGGAAAGTAACTTTTTAATGTATTTCTACTGCAAATTCTGGATATCTATTTCAGTGCATTATTTCTGCCAAATACACTCTCCCAGTTCTTCAGATCAATTATTGTTTCTGAATCCAGAATTGCCCGTTTTCCTCTTGACTTAATGTTGCTTGATCTCTCCTTATCTTGCAGATGATCTGGCCTCCTCTAGAGTCCGCCTCTATTTCTTCATCTCAAATGAAGGGAACCAGAACTTGTTTGTTGTTCAAGCCAGCCTGTGGCTTTATTTGAAACTGCTTCCGTATGTCTTAGAGAAAGGCAGCAGGCGAAAAGTCAAAGTCAAAGTCTATTTCCAAGACTTGGACACTAGCAACAAGTGGAATATGGTTGAAAAGAAAGTTGATCTCAAAAGGAGCGGTTGGCACACTTTTCCCATGACAGAGGCGATCCAGGCTCTGTTTGAGAAAGGAGAAAGGAGACTGAACCTGGATGTTCAGTGTGAGGGGTGCGAAGAGTATTCAGTGCTGCCAATTTACGTGGACCCTACGGAGGAATCCCACCGACCTTTTTTAGTGGTGCAAGCCCGGCTCACTGATAACAAACACAGGATCCGGAAAAGAGGCCTGGAATGTGATGGCAGGACCAATCTGTGTTGCAGGCAACAGTTTTACATTGACTTTAGACTCATTGGGTGGAATGACTGGATCATAGCGCCATCAGGTTACTATGGGAATTACTGTGAAGGCAGCTGCCCAGCCTACTTGGCTGGAGTCCCAGGGTCAGCTTCCTCTTTTCACACGGCTGTCGTGAATCAGTACCGCATGCGAGGCCTGAATCCAGGCACCGTAAACTCCTGTTGCATCCCGACCAAACTTAGCACAATGTCCATGCTGTACTTCGACGACGAATATAACATTGTGAAAAGGGACGTTCCCAATATGATTGTGGAAGAATGTGGTTGCGCTTGATTTACGGGGTGTTTCGGGGGAGGGGCAGAGCAGAAAGAGAACAGTCCCGAACTAGATGGTATTGGAGGAAGTTTCACTGTGTATCCAGGCATCGGTGTTGAGTCACTGCGGAAAAGTCTGGCCTCCCCCCCAAAAAAAAAGTTTCACATTTTGGTGTCAGGACAGTGGCCGTTTGTGGATCTTGGACATTTAAAATATTCTACCACTTATAAACTAATGCTATGAAATATTTTACACGCACGCACACACACATGCACACACATACACATGAAAGAGATACAAGCAACAGGAAGTCAGTCACCAGTGACAATGTAACTAAAATGCCTGCCAGTACAAGTGAATGGCTAAGCAGTTGGTCCTCCACCTGCCAGGGAAGTCAGACTGAAGTGAGCTCTGTGTGCTCATACAAAACACACACACACACACAGCTCTGTGTGCTCATACAAAACACACACACACAAAGAAAGAACATAATGTATTCTTGCACACAGGTGTCAAAATCACCAAACCTAAAAATGACCATCATCTCTTAGGTCCAAAGGGAAGCTGCAGACCATCTGCTGAGACAGGTGATCACTTCCTCTTAATTTAATTTAATATAAACACCGCCTATATCCTTATTTTCCAACAGCACTGCCAGTCAGGGATACCATATGATAACATCGGAGAGAAAGGGAGAGATCCACATAAGCAGCGACTGTAATTCTGAGACTGTTGCTGTATTCTTCTAAACCCCGTGTGTAGCTGGCATTATTTGATGCTTTAACTGATGGCTAGAAATCCATGGCCAGCTCTTTCTGTTGTGCTGTTGAAAAGGGGCTTTTCTATTCTATCTGGATTGTGCTGACAATTAGCATCTTGCTGTTCTAAGAACAAAAATCAAAGTTGCAATCCGTGTTTCGGCAGGAGACTCCGCAAGGACATGTAATGTGGGAGAAAAGAAAACAAAAACAAACGTTACCACACGTAAACCAATGAAGCCTAAGAGGAATTACAGTAAAGCGGTGGAGACATTCTGAAAAAAAAATGCTGTGCATTTAATAACAGGTGAAGAACACTTTAACAATCTTGCAAAGGAGGAGAGAGGAGAGTGCTTTCGTTTTCTTTACCAGGAAGTGTCAAGGATGGCCATACAGATCAGAAAATAAAGATACAGCATAGCACTTGCAAACTGCTTGAATGCACGTATTATAGCACTTGCAGATTTCAATGCCTTGAAAAGTGGTACTTGGTAGTGCACTTATCTTTGCTCACTATCTAGGTAAACAAGTGCCGCATGAGCTATGCAATTTAAAGTGTTGACCCATACTAGACAAAACTGGACTTATGATATGACTTTTTTATATTTTTTTATACTTGAAATTAAATCTTTTGCTTCTTTTTTAAAGCGAATGATTGCTTTTAATGTTTGCACTGATTTAGTTGCATGATTAGTGAAAAAAACTGCCATTTGAAAAAAAAGTTATTTTTATAGCAGCAAAAAATGTATTATACATAAATTTTGGAACCAAAGAGGCCAACATATTAGTTATAATTTTTATGCGATGGCAAAGCCATCATATGTCATGTAGTTGTTCTGAGCAATCCCTCACAAGGCCTACCGATTCTTTCAGGGTACAAAATGGATTCTGTGTGTTCTATTCAATGTCTTTTCTATACCGTACGCACATGGAATGTAGAGTGAAAAAACGACTGTTGTAGAATACATTACAATATGTACATCCTTTAAATCCATTTTTTATGTTTATTTAATAAAGTTCCTTTTTAGGTTCTGTTCCATAGTAATTTAAAACCAAACAAGTTCCACTTAGATTTGCTGTTTGAAGTATTTTGCATTTGTGTACAGATTAAGTAAATAAAAAGATTAAAAACTGGATGAGCTTTTATGAATGTCACCTCCTGGGGAGCTTGGTTAATGTAATTTATAACTCTCTAGATAAATCGGGGTGGGAGAGGGAATGAGTGATCTGAGATATATGTGAGATATTAAATGTCAGTTACTGCAGCAAAGTCTGGGGTCAGGCCCCATCTTGACGGGAAAAATCATGTATTTTTGCTTCTGCAGCTTGACAGGCACCTCTGGGTCCGGACAGTATTTTCAGCTCACGTGTTTGTGTGCCATCAAATCTGTCTTCAAGCCTTTCTTAAGGACTGGTCACAAGTCAGTTGTGAACGGAGCGGGTTCTGTAATGAAGATGTACAAAAATGACTTGGGGCCAGATCGTCAAAGCTATTTAGGGATCTGAATTAAAATCAGTGGGAATTAAGCACCTATGTGCCTTTGAGGCTAGCTCAATTTTGAAAAAGAGATTGGGGCTCCCCAGTCATATAAGAAATTGTTCTAACGTTTTACCCAACGTCTTTCTTTTGCTGTTAGGGGTGGAGTGGTTTCCTGGTCTTAGCCCAGAGTTGGGGGCTAATAAATCCTGAAATCTAATGCTGGCTCTGAGAACGCCTCAATCCAGGGATCACTGAGACCAGCACTTCCAAAAGTGGGCTCTGACCTTGAGTGCCAGTTTGAGGCACTATGGGCTTAGTTTTTACAAGTGCTGAGCACACGCCGTTCACATTAGCGGGAGTTGTAAGGGCTCAACACTTCTCAGCAGCAGACCCTGGGTCTCTCAAGTCGAACACCCAAAATGAGAGCCCACGTTTGGAAATGTTGGTCTTTGCCTTTCTGTTTCAGGTTGCCCTCTCTATAACATGGGAATAGCACCTAGCAAAGATGAATTAATGTTGGCAGAATTGCACAATAGGTCAGATCCAAAGCCCACTGCAATCAACAGGAGTTGTTTGCATTGACTTCAGTGTGCTTTTGGCTTAGGTCCTGTACATGCTAAAAATTATTACTCAGCCCGATGAGTGCAATGAGGTTCCAGACCTGGAACTCCATGCCCCTTTATCATTTACAATAGTCAGAAGTAAACACTAAGTTCCCTGCGTGAAACTCCTACTGGTGTTAATGGGTGTTCGGTGAAAGGTGTGCCATGATGTCATGCAGCCACAGAACACAAGATTGATCAGCTTTGCATGCTGTGCATTTCCACTGGTAATGGATAATTGTTCAGAAATCTTCCAAGATTCACCTGCATTGTTTTGCCACGTGTGAGAGAGGGGAAGTCAACAATGGAAGTTAATGATGTGTTTGTCATATAGCCTGCTCCCACAGGAATAATCTGTCAAAATGAAAGTCAGAACTGACATCCTGAAAAACAAAGGTTAAAATATACATCATTTGCTGCAACTGGCTACAGATCTGTAGTAATTGTTAAAAGAAAAAAAGCATAATTGTGTCGTTGCACTGAGGCTTTAGGCTGGGATTTTGCAAAGGCACTAAAGGAAGTGAGGTGCCTGGCACTTGACTGATCCTTTGAAAATCCCTGCCTTTATACTTCACACATTTACTATTATTAATGATAACTTAAGTTTGGACAGTGGCTTTCTGCCCAAAGGGTTGTGAAGCACTTTGCAAAATGCTTCAAGATTCTGTCATAAAGCAAAAGATTTTTCTCTGAGAGCAATTTTTGCTCTCATTAAAGTTGGTGTCAGCTTGGAGGAACTCCAGGGATACACATGAGTTCAGGTAAGCGCACGCGTGCACATACACACACACACTCGGTCCACTGTTCAAATGCATCCACCTTTTGGATTGGAATAAGCAACTGTTTAACAGAGTACAATAATGTTAGCTATCACTTTAAAATGAAGAAGTAAAAGTTCAATACTTGGGCAATTTTCTTATGTGCCTTGGGGTTTGACCAGGAAAGAGCATCTGCCCGGTGCAAAGTACCACAGGGTCTTTAATTATCTGACTGGTCAAGATCTCTATTCAAACCATGGATTTTCCTGGACTTTTATAATTGCACCAAACCTGGGACAGCTGGAGCTTAGTGCATGAGCTTCTATTGCTTGAGCTAAAAGCCAGTTGGCTCTCAGCTAAGGCTCTCTGTAAGTGATCTATATACCACTACATGAGACAGTGACCCACACCCACTAGGTGTGTGTGTATGTGTTACACCAACATAAAAGTGAAAATAGAATTAGGCTCTTTCATTGTCTTCCAGTGTAACTTCTGGAGTAACATTTAGTGCACTGTTGGGTACTTCAGTAATTAGCACAATTATATCAAATTACCTAATTGGTGTAACCACTCTGTGTAATGTGCCATATTTTAAAATCTTTGTGAAACATGAGCTGTAGCCTCAGGTTCGGGGCTCCCCCATTTTCAGTATGAAGTCTAGGGCCTGATCTCATTCACCAAACTCCCATTGTCTTCCAGGGAAGGCCCATATGCAGGAGGTTTGAAGGCTCAGTTTACGTATTTCTTATTATCATGTGTGCTTTGTTAGTTGTAGGGTTGAATCCTGCCATGAGCTCAGTGGAGAGACAGGTGCCGGCTTAAGGCCCAGCTATTATACTGAGGTATCTGTCTGATGGTAGTGCCATCAGGTTCCTATGGCACTGCACATAATCATGATGCCCCCGGAGCATTTACAATTTAAACACAGTAATGCAGACACGGGGTAGAAAGGGCAAGAGGTGCACAGAGAAGTGATGTGATCGCCCCTAGGTCTCACGCTCTAGGAGAAGGCCCAGGACAAAAGCCTAGAGCTTCCAAGTCTCAGGTGCATTCCACATGGCCTGTCCTAGGCTGCTTCTCCCAGTTAAGGGCTTGCTCCTAGGCACCTGGGGGAAGTTCAGGGGACTCCACACCTTGCACCATCCAGCCGCAGATTGAACTGCTGTAATGAAATATCCACCTGTGACCCAGGCACGCTTCATAGGGGGGCTGTGTGCATACACTTGTAAGACTGTAGTGTGATGGTGATACACACCGCTGCAAAGCTTTTCTTAGCGACTGCCTGCTTCCCACTTACTGTAGGGCTGCCCTCTTTCCCCCAGCATGCCTTTCGGAGGCTTTTAAAATCTGGCAGGGAGAAGCAGCTGCAGCCCTAAAATGGCCAATTTGTAATTAGCTGCTGCTGATTGTATCTTCCTTCCAGCTGGCAAGCAGACTTAGCCTGGTAGGTTTGCCTCTAGGTTTCGAGGAGACCTGTTCAATACCATGTTGCAGGGAAAAATATGATAGACAGTGCTATGGAGGTGACTTCACTCATCAGAGGGGAAAGAAGACGCTGCAGAAGAGCAAACTTATGCATACGTCTAAGCAAGGCAGCACCCTGTGTAGAACTTACATCGGTCAGAGGGGCCCGATCCTGCATCCTGTGAGTATTTTTCTTAAGGAGAGTGTGCAGGTTTGAGCTCATTGCCTGTGATTTTGGTTTCATTGGCATCTGGGGAATTGTGTTAATCCTGACCCATTGCAGGGAGTGGCTTTTACACTGAGCCCAGAATCCGGGTGGCTAAGACTGTGTTCTCTTAGTGCCAAGAAAATAATTGCCGAGGGGCTCACAATATCCCAGGACAAGTGTGGGGGGAGAGTCTCGAGGCTGGTGAGGCAATGTGAGAGGACTGGGGGAAGGGCCAGCGGAGCTTGAATGGTGTAGCTCAACTAGTCATTCCCTCCAGGAGGGGTGATTCAGGAATCGTAGGTGTTACCTGCAGCCCAGAGGCTGCAGCAGAGGCCAGAAGGTGGCTCTCACATCCCTGTGATATGGAGGGAGAGATGGATTCTTGAACCCCTGATGCTGGGGCTGGGGAGCTTTTTATGGCTTGGGGCCACTGACCCATGGAAAAATCAACTGGGGGCCACCCACAGTGAAAAGCAAAAAACCCCAAACAAACCAAAAAAACACCCACAAAAAAACACCTCACAGATGTGGCCCCCAACTGATAAGCAGGAAAAAAAAGAGACACCTCACTCATATAACTTGGGGTGCCAGGATTCCCCTCACACTCTAACCCTGAGGGTTTCCCCCATGGCCAGATGAACTCTTCTGGGGGTTGTAGATTTTGTGGGCCTGCTGAGGAGCAGGCCAGGGGTGCAGAGTCTGGGCAAGGTAGGGTTTAGTAGCCAGGTGGGAGTGCAGGGTCTGGGCAGGAGGAAGGCTGCAGAGGTAGGCTGGGGGTGCAGTGTCTGGGTAGGAGGGGAGGATGGGGGTGCCTACCTGGCACAGCGGGGGGGGGGTACAGG